ACAAGATCCGATCGAGTGTCGTTATTAAAGTCACCAACAGCTACAGCTTGTGGATCAGAGCCAGTTGAATATGTCGTTTGATTTGCAAAAGAGCCATTGCCATATCCAAGAAGGATGCTTACAGTGTTGCCACCAAAATTAGCAGCGACGATATCCAGTTTGGTGTCGTTGTTAAAATCACCAACAGTTACAGAGTGTGGGTAAGAGCCAGTTGAATATGTCGTTTGATTTGCAAAAGAGCCATTTCCATATCCAAGAAGGACACTTACGGTATTGTCATCCCGATTAACAACGACGATATCCAGTTGGTTGTCATTATTAAAATCACCAACAGCTAGAGCTATTGGGACAGAGCCAGTTGAATATTTCGTTTGATTCGCGAAAGAGCCATTTCCATATCCGAGAAGGACACTTACAGTGTTGTCATCAAAATTAGCGATGACGCTATCCAGATTGGTGTCGTTGTTAAAATCACCAACAGCTACAGAGAATGGCCAAGAGCCAGTTGAATATGTCGTTTGATTTGCAAAAGAGCCATCACCGTATCCGAGAAGTACACCGACAGTATTGTCACCAACATTAGCGACGACGATATCCAGATGAATGTCGCTGTTAAAGTCACCAACAGCTACAGCTACTGGGCCAGAGCCAGTTGAATATGTCGTTTGATTTGCAAAAGAGCCATTTTCATATCCGAGAAAAACACTTACATTGTTGTCACGATAATTAGGAACGACTATATCCAGATTGATGTCGTTATTAAAATCACCAACAGCAACAGAGAGTGGCCAAGAGTCAGTTGAATATGTCGTTTGATTTGCAAAAGAGCCATTGCCATATCCGAGAAGGATACTTACAGTGTTGCTCTCCCTATTAGCAACTACAATATCTAATCGGGTGTCATGGTTAAAATCACCAACAGCTACTGAGTACGGTAAAGTGCCAGTTGCATATGTCATTTGAATAGGAAAAAATTCATCATAACCAAGCATGATACCTATCGTCCCTGTATCATTGTTAATGGCGACAATGTCTAAACGATTATCTTTGTTTAAATCACCTATGGCAATGGAGATTGATGAAGAAGATCCAGTTGAATACATTTTTGCGCTTGCAAAAGTACCGTTGCCATAGCCGACAAGTAGAGCTACATTGTGAGTACCATTATTGCTTACAACAACATCCATTCTATTGTCGTTGTTGAAGTCACCAATGCCAATAGCATATGGAGAAGCAACACCGAGCGAATATGTCATTTGGCTCAGAAAAGTTCCGTTACCGTGACCCAGAAGTATACCTACACTGTAATTTCCATGATTGGTGACGGCAATATCTAGTATGGTGTCTTCATTTAGATGACCAACAACAATCGAGTAAGGATGGGAATTAAGACCAGTTGAGAATGTGATTTGCTTTACGAAAGTGCCGTTACTAACCCCAAGCATGATACCGACATTATTGGTACCATAATTGGCGATAGCAAGATCCATCTGTTTGTCGTTGTTGAAATCGCCACTAACAACCGCTAACGGGAAAGAATCGTATCCTGTAGAGTGCGTGCTTGGGTTTGAAAAGCTTGCATTCCCAAATCCATAAAATATGCTAACACTGTGTGTGCCGTAGTTAGCAGTGACAATATCTAATGCTGCGTCATCGTTGAGATCTGCTACATGTATCCAAATGGGACGAGATGATTCAGTTGATAGAACTGTTTTGTTTGTAAAAGACCCATTTTGGAATCTAAGAAGTACACCGATGCTATTTGTGCCGAAATTTGCGACAGCGACATCTAGTCGATGATCGGTGTCAAAATCACCAACAGCAATCATGTACGGAGCAGAGCCATAACCAGTTGAAAACATGACTGGGCTTGCCACAGTACCATCACCATGTCCAAAATATATGGCTATATTGTCAGCAGCATAATTGGCAACAACAATATCTAGCGAGGTATCGTTGTTGAAGTCTCCCATGGCAACAGCTCGTGGACCATACTTGTAGTGAATTGGATTTTGGGCCGTTGCTTTAAAATTAAGTTCACATTTTGGAACTAAGTAACGCAACAACAAAGAAATAAAGACTGATCAATTACTATGATTGAACTATGTCTAATGGACCGTATCAGATTTCGATAATTCTGATGATTTTCTATTGAGAATAGTCAGATCATTACAAACAAATCTGAGTGAGAACCAGCACTTTTCAATAGAACCTCGTTGAGTCTCGTGAAACTCATAGTGACTGAGGAAGAACAAAGACAGTAGCTAACATGATGACAAAACGAACTATGAACTTTTCCTAACTAAGAGTTCAAAACTGCATTCGTTTCTCTCTTACTGATTATTGAAGGACATGCCATTAGCTACAATTAGAATATAATGATGATAATTTTGGACCGTTTCGAAATCAAATCAATATCAGCATGTCCGTGTTGCAAAATTCTTGTCATCGCGTCATGAATATCACGCATTGTTAATTAACAACAACAATTAGAATATGACAAGTTTTTTTACGAGTGTTCGAGATTACACAATGGATAGAACAATGACTATTTATTGAAAGTTATCACTTGATGAAGTGAATCATAATTCATTTCTAATGTTGAACATCGTGATCATAATCCACTGGTACAATATGACCTGCATAGTTATATGATGGTTTCTGGTAGTTCTCTTTCTCGTAGAGAAGAGTCTTACAAACATAAATTGTCTGCTTGCTTGCTTGCTTGTATGTCCGCAGAGGGTCAAAAGAACATAACGGTTCACCGAAGGATAATCAGAGGTTATTTTTGGTTGGGATTTCGACTAATAAGGTTTTCTGACATTGCGGTTTCAGCCAATAGGATTTCAGGGGGGGGGGGG